CAAAAAGTAGTACATGAACAAGTTAAATGGACGGATTTGTAAGTATACAATTTTGAAAGTGCCCGGCGTCGCGGCGGTCCGCGTTCGCGCGCCATCCCGCGCCGCGTTCGACGTCGCGCTCACGTCCCTCGCTCCTCCCCTCCTTTCGCAATTATGTACTGGTGGCGTTATAACCGTTTAGAAAAAGGAAAAATGATAAAATAACACTAGTTCACTTCTGCTTTTTAATGTCCAAGTAATGGGAATTATTGTGTATGGTGTTATTGCACGCTGCATCCCACCCATAGTGGAATTTACCAGGTGCCACTGCTTTATTTGAAAATTTGCCTATAAAATGCCGAATTTCAGAAAATAAAGCGAGAAAGCTGTTTTATTACTTCATCTGTTTAATGCGACATGGTTTCATGCAAACATTTTAAGGTTTTCCAGCAATATTTTTAACATATATTAAAAAGCATGCAGAAAAAATTTATACAAAAGCGATATGTCCAATATGCGGAACAGTTTTTAAAGACGATGCTTTCCCTATATTTTGTTAGACTCTTCATAGGTGTAAAAATATTTTGTGAATATTACTTTTTTCATATGAATCATATCGCATTTTTTGTTTAATTCAAGGTATATCAAACAGGTTTAGAGCATTTGAGCAAAAACAACATTTGCCTGTATTTTGTTATTGCTTCTGGTATCGAAGGTGCCAAAAACTGTTCTGATTGTTTTCTTCTACATAAAAGCGTGCCATGCGAAATACGAAAAAGGTAAAAAATTTAAATTGAAAAAATGAAAATTGTTGCAACTTTCTTTCTTAGTGAATTGTGCTGCTGAGTTGGGCGAGCTTTCCAAAAGCTGCTATTTAATTGCTGGTTTTGTATGGAAAATGTTTCACATGCAAATAGATTTTACCAATTTAGAATTTTTGTGAGAAGAACAAATAATTTGAAAAAAATCAAATCAGCTGCTATACTGATATTACCTGTTCAATGTGCCTTGGTTTAATTGTATTTTTAACCGACTTCCAAAAAAGGAGAAGGTTATCAGTTCGTCGGAATATTTTTTTTTTCTTTTTTTTATGTATGTTACCGCATAACTTTGGACCACGTCAACGTCGATAATTCTTTTTGCATCGGAAAGGTAATGTCTCAGAGGTGGTCCCATACTAATCTGGTTAAGATCCGATCAGCGGATCATGAGATATATATATACATATATATATTTTTTTTATATGAGAGTTGAAGTCGGTTTTTTTTTGCTAAAAATTAATTGTTGGAATAAACAAAGTTCTTTTTCCTTCCGTCAGTAAACTGTTTTTTTTTTTACAAATAGTATAAATAAGCAATAGGGAATAAGGCAAAGGCTCAGGTTTTGGTATTATTTCCCATTTAAAAGTGAAATAAAGCAAATTTTGCGTTATTGCCGTTTGTTTTATTATTATTTTTTTTTTTTTTTCAAACCTTTTTTTTTCAAAGAAACTGCACTTTCACTTGGCACCTTCAAATAACACGTCACCACTATAATGAATCCGTTGGCCATCTTTAGGGCCTTTTACGGGTGTCTAAGTCAACAAATTTCACTCAGGCGAACCGCAATTCGGCTCAACGGTCCCACAACCACATACCGTATTCACACTCACACCGCTTCACCGATGCATTTGTTGCTAGTGCCACATGTCCCAAACTTGTCCGCCACACATGCTGCTGGCGCTATATGATGCAAACTTTTCCACAACATATGTTGCCGGCACTTCTGTGGCTTTATGGCTATAGCTATATATATATATATAAGTTAACACGCACCAGTCGCATTTGTTGCGACGCTCCCACGGTTGGCCGTTACACGTGCCGCAGTGTCAGCATATTTTAATTTCACCATATAGTGTAACGGGAGACATTGCCACCTGCATTCCATAATGCACCCGTGGGAAGTCAAGGCCAAATCCAGTCTCATAAAATAGGTTGTAAACATGTTACGCAACCATTGCGTCGCTGCCAGAGAACGAAAATGGCAAGCAAGCAACAGCCACAACATGCAGTCAGTCGAGTTCGGGACGGGTTATCATACAGTACGTTTAGTGTTAGACTTAGTCGTAAGGAGTTAAGTGTTAATAATAATAATAATAATAATAATAGAGCTCAATAGAGCTTTGTTCAACGAGTTGGGTGGTTGGTAAAATGTTTCGTTTCTTTATTTACACACATCAAACCAAGATATTTTGCAGCTTTACCTTCGAAGACGAATAAATTTTTGTGTTCGCGGACGTTCCGCATTTAATTAAATAATTAAGAAACCAATTCCTTGACCACAGATATGTCGTTGATGGAAAAATAGTAAAAAGGACATAATATTAGAGCTGATGTCATGCACCTCTATAGACCTAAGCATCACACATAAGATCACCGCTAGCCATCTCAACGTATCTGGACCTCATAGGCAGAAAGTCAAAACGGCCACATAGCTAGCGCAAGCAATCACAAGAGCTGGAAGCTTGGGGCACTTGAGTGGACACAATTGGCAAGAGTGCTTCCAATTGTTTAAAAATGTATAAGCTATACACGTAGTATGAGCAATCATATATCTGTGTAATAATCACTTATACTTTTTAGACGAATGATTGGTTCGACGTGGTCAGGGTACCTCATGCTGATTCTAAGGTGCGGCGTCACGGGTATGGCCTTGCAATCGATGTTCAAAACCAAATATTGGACGAAATGTCAGAACCGGTGGGGAATATGAGAGTCGTTGGAAAAAATGGACTATTACCAGTATAATGGTATATCACAGTTTTAATTATGACTCATATTTTAAATAATCTATATATACATATGCTTGTGATTAATTTTAGGAATTATACAGTCAAATTAAGCCGTAAAAATGTTGCTTTCCAGCCTTAAGCGACGATTGGGTACGTGTCATTTAAACCAGGATGTACTTGAAAATTTATTTGGAGTTATACGCGCTAAAGGTGGTTTGCACGACCACCCCGACCAACAGGAATTTAAATATCGGCTCAGAACATACATTCTTGCGTGCAATGAGGGCGCAATTTCTACGGGAGGGAATGTCGAGGTTGATGATACCAGAACCATCTCAGCCTACTCTTACAGGTATTTGAAATTTTTTGTATTGTAACTAGTATAATGAACATACTTACACAGGTACGAAACTTTTTATACAGGTACGATATTGCGACCCATGATACTTCCATTGGAAGAAATTGAACTGAGGGAGTTTACTGATCCAGAATATGACGGTCTAGAAAATGTAGCCGGATATATATGTTACAGACTACGTGATGAATTTCCTACCTCGTCCTTCGAAACTAGCGACGACCCATCACTCTCATGGGTGAACCTCTTAAGTGATGGTGGTTTATCACTTCCAAGCGCCCAACTTTAGTCAATATTTGTAGCAGTTAATGGTGTCGGCCGCTGTGGTGTAGTGGTAAGCAGTGCGAGTTTCCACTCCGCAACGCCTGGGTTCAAACCCTGGTCAAAGCAGCATCGCAAAAAATGTAGAAAAAAGGTTTTTTCTTAACAGCGGTTGTCCCTCGGCAGGCAATGGCAAACCTGCGAGTGTATTTCTGCCATGAAAAACAGCTTCTCATAAAAAACACTAACATAGTGTATATTATTATTATTATTATTATTATTATTATTATTATTATTATTAATAGAGAAACACTACTCATTAGGAATGATTTTATAAAAGAACTCATAGAACAAGTGTCTGATATTGAATGTGTCATAAAAATTAAAAAAATATTTTTAAGAACACGAGTGTTTGCTAAAATATGAAAACTCAACCCAGAAATTATTGAAACAGCACACAAAAGAAAACGCAAAAATACAAAAATATTGACTAAGAAAACTTTGTTTTATTGTTTAAAACCTTGGAATATTATATATTAATCCTTGCAATTCACAGGTAAATAAATAGAAATGGAATCTATTATATATGGACTGCTAAAACTACGATAATTCAACTTGTCATAAACATTTCAATTTAATACAATTAAATAGTTGTAATTCTATGCTGGGGAAATGTTTAGGTATTTGTACAACGATTTTAGGGTAAGAGGGGCGGAGGGGGAGGGGCGTGGCTCCCCAAACCCCCCTAAACGAAAGAGGATGAACCGCACTTTATGAATAGCCTGCTGGCAAATTTGCCAAAAATACCATATTTGAAACCAAAATTATTAAAAAATTAGTGCACAGATGAATTTTTGTTTTTAAATAAAGCGTAGACTCTTGTCTACAAGTGTGTGTTTGCGCACAGCAACCCAAAATTGTTGTGCAAATAACTAAGCCGTACCCCTACTCTGTTTTAGTTGCTTCATAGAAGTAAATGTATTTTACACTTTACCTTAATGGCTGGACCCTGATAATCGGAGCCGGGTGTGCGTGGTTGCATTAACAATTAATTTTGCTGTTGTATCCTTGATTGTGCTTTCGCAGTCATGCCCAACGCTGGTAGAACGCCATAAGCAAGTGCCCTGCGCTGGGCATGCCTGTTTTAGTGGCTGACTTAGTTTGGCAGTGGACTTTGCTTGCTTTTTTGTAGAATCTGCTTTGTTGGCACCTTTATTATTTGATTGTGGTTTCGCTGTTGCAGCTGCTCCTTTTTGTGCGTTAGTATTGGGTTTCGTTGGAACGATATCCTTATTTGATGCTGATTGCAGGCGTCACAATTTCAGGTAAAATTGCTTGGTTTATGCCTTTGCAATTTAGTCTTATGTTGACACAGTTTGCATTGTATTTCATGAAATAGGTACGCATTAGAAGTTAATAAAAAGTAATGTATTGCCGCAGATGCTACTTACCAGGCTATTAGCGCGCCCTTTCTCAACCAATTGGCCCTTTTACGCTGTTTCCTGCTAATATTCACGCACGCCGGCAGTTTACTGTCAAAATTTTCTCATGGACATACAACTTGTATGGGACCAACCGAAATTGAACGGCGTACGTATGAAGCTAACTCAATTTCCAACTTTTGTTCTGTGTGACATTTTGATTTGACGTTTCGCTCAATGAAATCAAATGCAAACGCACGCAAGCCAATTTCGGTTGACGCAAAAAAAAACAATTCGAAAGCGTGCGTACCAAAACGCAAGCCGCGAATATTAGGTTAGCCTGTAATACTTAGACAGCAACAAACAAATAAGAATAAAATAAAGCAAAAAATTCTACTGTTCAGACTGGATTAGATCGCTACATATTAATAAAGCGAAAGCGCACACCCGAAAATATGGAAAACAAACTCCAAAAAATAAAATTATGAAAGTAGTCACTTCAGGTAAATCTATGTACATCGGCGGAGAGTAATCGTTTTAGTGTTCTCGCTGATATGAATAATTATTCTAATCAACAAGTAGTTAAAAAACACAAGTCTGCACCTATTTATCTACGAGAAGAAAGTTCCAATGCTCTGGTAGGTACTCTCCTAAAACTAGTAGGGAAAATAATTTTTATCTGGTTCCTATTTAAAAAGGTAATATACACGAAGTGAAAACTCAGGCTCAAAACGAAGATACTTTTCGTAAAATTATCAATGAGTTTGATAAGTGTAAGAAATCGTATTACACTTATTAACTTAAAAGTAGTCGTTCTAGCGCAGTTGTCATAAAAGGCATCGAGTCCAGTGTGAACTCACAAGAGATAGAAAATGCTCTTAGGGAAGAAAGTTTTAAGGTGCGCAATGTTTTTAATAATAATAATAATCAACATTAAAAATCAGGGTTCGTATTTGCACACACATGCTCTGCTCACACACACGCCAGAAACACATTCAACTTGCACTCACTGCTCATACACATGTGTGTGCATAAGTGGAAAACAAACTCTACTCACAGAAAAGTGTGTGCTGTTTGTTATTAAGCACATGCACATGTGTGTGAGCCGATTTTTGTACAAATTTCAGCCCATGCACATGCACATAATATATTCTTAAAAGAATTTGTTTATTAAACGTTATTTTTTGAAAGACAATTCAATAAAAAGTGAGATGTTGTTTGTTTTTTATATGACAGAAAACATATTAAAAAATTATTTTAAGATTTGAGTTAGAATTCGAAGTGTATAAGTTTCTCTGCGCATAGCACACACATGTGCGTGTGCTTTACATTAATAAAAAGAAAGTTCACACATGTGCCCGTGCTTTTTACCAAACGGCACACACATGTGATGTGAGCAAATTTTTAATTTTTTATATGCACAGCACACGTGTGTGAGCTTAAAATGTTAGGATGTGCTGCACATGTGGGTGCAAATACGAACCCTGTTAAAAATAAAGAAAACATCCCTCAACCGATGTTCAAAATAGAGCTAGAACCTGACTTTCATAACCTAAGGAAAGGTGAAGTGCATCAAATATATCAATTGCGATATCTTCCACACTGTAAAATCTCCGTAGAAGAACCCCTTAAGCGTAGAGGCCCTGTTCAATGTCACAACTGCCAGGAATTTGGTCACACACGTCGCTACTGCACCTTACCTGGTGTGTGTTATCTGCGGGGATTTATACACTAGTGATGGGCAACGCAGCGCGGCGCTGCTTCATTGCTTTGATACCGACGGTGGCGCTACTGGCGCTGATACACTAATTATTGACCCTGTGGCGCATTGGTTACAGTAACGCCAATAACGAGCTTGCGCACCATGAACGCAAATTGCAAAAAATGTTCGTATACGCATCTAAAAAAGGTAAACAAAAAAGATGGGGAAGAAAGGGTTGACAATTTGAAAACAATGCCAACAATTTGTCAATATGCGTAAAAGATATAAAAACTTCGTAAAGCAATAGAAATATGAAAGTGTGATGTGTAAAATGGAGAAAACAATCTCAATTACTACCCTTTTGCAAATGTGAATCGAGAATCCAAAGCAGCAGCTTATTGTAGAAAACGCTATAAAAGATATGGATCAACGATTCGATAGCGATCCTGGTGAAGTGCGTACATTCGTTCCTGGATCGACATGGTTTTATTAACTTTGGCATTTTTAAACGTTTACGTCCCATACCTACTAAGAAGTTGGGCAAAGTTATAGTAATTGGAGCAGGCATCTCAGGGTTAGCGGCTGCCCAACAGCTGCAGCAATTCGGTATGGATGTCATTGTGTTATTGTACTTTTCGCAAGAGAAATTATATTGGTGATTTAGGCGCTATGGTAGTAACAGGTGTTTGGGGCAATGCATGACTATACTAAGCAAACAAATTGAAAGGGAGATAGTCCAGGTTAGGCTAGCATGCCCGCTATGTGGAGCTTTTGGAAAACCTGTGCCCAAGCATAAGGACGACATGGTGAGCAGAAATAATACGTAATAAGTATTTATATTATTTTATAAATATTATTAGGGCTGTTCAGGGTGTTGTGGAAATGGTCTTGAATTTGCGGTTGGAATTGCATTTTGAAATTTTTTGCTTGCTGACATGGCAACCGTGTGCATTTTATTGTTGTGAATTTACAAACGCAACGAATGTGGAAATCCAAGACCATTTCCACAAGATCCTGAACAGCCCTATTGTTTTTCAAGTGGAACGTGAATTCAATCGACTTCTTGAGTCCACCAGCTATCATTCTCATCAGCTAGACTTTAACTACGCCTACGATGACCCTATCTCATTGAGCCGAGCACTTGAATGGATCGTTAAGCCACGCCACTCAGTATCTATCCCTCAAGCATTGGGACTAAGATGATGATTTCGAGTTCATCGGCAATCACACAATAGCTTTGACTTAGATATACGTGTATATACCGCCGTAAAATCGATTAAATTTTTTCATACTGGCGTGAAAATTGTGACTGAAAACTTGAAGACAAACAATTCTTCCGTTACATACAAGGCAGACATCGAGCTTTGCACCCTCACGCTAGGTGTGCTAAAGATAGTCACTCCGAAGTTCAATCACAACAAGCAAATACCGTTAGGCTTAAGCAATCAGCTATACAGCGATTAGGATTTCAAGCTAAATTAACTAAGTTTATATAATCTAGTTTAGTAGTCAATAGTAGTGTATGGATGTATGTATATGTATTTACCTATAAATATACATAAAAGCAGAAAAAGTTTATCAAATTTTGCAAGGATCTAAGAAACGTAAATTTTTGTAAACCTTAATAATTAATTTTTAACTTTTAATATACATAAAAAAAGAAGGGTAAATCGATTACCTTTCTTTTGATTATAATGTTGTTGAAATCGCTTAACTTTTTTATACAAATTTTGCTACTTTTGAAAACACATATGTGTAAGAGGGGAAAAGTCATGAAATTTTGCATAGTTGTAAGGAACCTAAATTTTTGTAAACCTTAATAATTAACTTTTAACTTTTAATATATATCAAAAGAAGGGTTAATCGATTACCTTTCTTTTGATTATAATGTCGTTGAAATCGCTTAACCTTTTTATACAAATTTTGCAACTTTTGAAAACACATATATGTAAGCAAGGAAAAGTCATGAAATTTTGCATAGTTGTAAGAAACCTAAAT